GTCATTATCGTGAAAACCAGTGAAACACACCCACCGTGTATCAACCAAAACGATATTAACAGCTAACAGATTCAATTAATAACACGTATTAATCAAAAGAGTTGTTCGGGAACAGGTTGTTCGGGTGAGGCAGAGTTGAATGGAGGTGTAATCAGGGCTATTGAGAACGGGTCGTCACCTGCGCGACTAGTCTTCATTGTGAAGAATGGAACTGGTGAATAGCCGCGGGACTCGCTCACGATGCCTGACTTGAGCGACTTTTTTATTAGTTTAAGTGGGCCGACGAGCTTGCGAGGGCCTGATGTTAAACAGTAACCAGAGTCCAATGTTCGGGTCCTAGGACTGCCGCTCAACTGGAATCATCGGGTTAACTTACTCTTCAAAGCGTGAGTTAGTTTGATCTTATTATACGATGTTAATTTATTTTAAAATGGAAAAGTATGTAAGTCGTTCGTAAATACGTTTTCGGAATTTATTTGAGAAAACGATTCCTGCCTTGGGACTCAAATCCTGGCATATTAGTAAAGTCGTCGAAGTCGTCGTGGCCTAAAGGGTAAGACGTCCGGTGCATTCGTGTTGAGCGATGCACCGATGTTCGAGTCCCAGGCGGGTACCAATTTTTCTAATGAAATACGTACTCAACAAATGTTCACGATTGACTTCCACGGTGAAGGAAAAACATCGTGTAATAAAAATCAAACCCGCGAAAATTTTAATTTGCGTAATTACTGGTGGTAGGAGCTCTTGTGAGCCCGCGCGGATAGACACCACCGCCCTGGCCTATTTCTGCCGTGAAGCAGTAATGCATTTCGGTCTGAAGGGTAGGGCAGCCGTTGTAACTATACTGAGATCTTAGAACTTATATCTCAAGGTGGGTGGCGCATTTACTTTGTAGATGTCTTGGGCTCCAGTAATCACTTAACACCATTTGGGCTAACAAAATTTTAAATAAAAAAAACTCGATACGAGTATATTTGACGTCTTCCCTAATAAGACAGCCAACCTTCACAAAACTCACTACTTAAATACTACTTACTTATCTTAGGTTTAATTTAAACTTAATATTAAATAGAAATAAATAAAGTATTATATAAAAAATACAGTACATTGGGTGTGGATCAAATTATTTTCTATTTACATCGAATTCAGGCTATAAAACAGCCCGTTTGATAGTATTTGGCCAACGTTGCTCAAATAATAATAATATTATAATAATCTAATTAAACTAAAATATTACAACTGTAAATGCATATTTTATAACAAAAATTATATTTGTAGGTACTTAATGTTGGTAGACTAAACGATGGGCTTGTAATAATATCTACCTTCATTTTTATTTATGTAGATCTTAATTTTTGTCTATATTTCTTATTCTATATAATGATATAGTTGTTAAGAACGTGCTTGTACATAATCAGCCAACGAATAAAACTCTTATCCAGTAGCTAATACTGTAGCCTCAATAAGAGCGGAAGTAAATCCCCTGACCGGAAACACTTGTTTGTACTCGCAGGTACGTTCCTATTGAAGGCACAGCACATCTAACAAGACGTAGCTAGCTACCTCGGGGCCCTTCATCGAACACGTGTACTCGCAACGACGCATTAATCAACACAATGAAATCTGGATTTTATTGCGTCGTTGAACAGAGAAATATAGAGTATCTACTGCTATTTTTTCTTTTTTTTTGCTTTAATAACTGTATTGGTTCACGGTCCACCTGGTACTAATCGGCTATTGGAGCTCAAATCATGTAACGGCCGTTTTCAATAACGTATCTGAGTTTTCGGATAGATAGCTATCTCCGAATATCAGCAAGAGCGTATCTATCCTTAGTTTGCGTTTCACAATCACGGATAAGTGCTATCTCTCTTTAACCAACAGTAGATAGCTTCTTCCCTCCGATTTATCCGAGCCTCTTGATACGTTTCGTTCTACTACAAATACGAAACAACATCAGGATCAAGACTTATTTTATTTTATTCTAAATTATAACTATAATTTAACCAGCATATTGTAGACTATCATAAACACATTTGTTTATAACAAAAAGTAATAAAAACATATGTAGATTTTTTTAAATTGGACGTATTGCTATTTTTATCCTAGTCGAAATTATGAAACGAAACGTTTTGACAGTCCG